ATTCTTCCCCCAACTCAATGTTTCTGCCCCTCCATTTCCTCTCCTCTTCTCTTGCTCTTATTGTAGCAGCTCCTTTCCCCCCACCCTCATGCCCCCAATTAGTTCGGGAGTTCATGCCACTTCCATTCCTGGGGACCATTTATCCCTTAGAGTCCTTCATGTTTCCTAGTTTCTTTGGTGAAGAGCATTATATACTGGTAATCCTTTGCTCTATGTCTAAAATTCATATATCAGTGAGTACATACCATGTTTGTCTTTTTGTGACTGGGTTACCTCACTCGGGATGGTTTGGTATTTTCCAATTTTTAATATCATATACAAATACTTATTAAATCTTATCACATATCAGTAATTATTCTCTGTACAATCTGGAATTAGAACTTATAAGCCAAAGACTGAGTGTTTGGGGACTTTGAATACTTACTGTTAACAATATTGAGGCAATTTAAATTCTGACAGTATGAGAACCTGTTTATCTGTTCCCTTGCTAATTTGCAAACACTGAAGATTAATAATTTCTTAAGTCTTTGTCAATTTGATAGACGAAAGATTATATCTCATTGTTGTAATTTAAATTTTGAAAACTTTTGTTGAAAAATTAATTGGTGTCTCAGTTTTCTGTTGCTTTGATAAAATATCTTGACACAGGCAACGTAAGGGGGAAATGTTCATTTCAACGCACAGTTCAAGGCCACAGCCTATTATGCTGGAGGAAGTCACAGTACCCAGTGCTTGAAGAAGCTAGTTACACTGCTACCACAGTAAAGCAGCAGAGAGTAAGGGGTGAATGTGGCATGCTTCACACCACCTCCTCTCCACATGTACCTTCCAGGATGCCTGTCTCAGGGAATGGTCCTACCTACCAGTAAGAGGTGTTTTCCCACATCACTTAACACAGTCAGTTAAATCCCCTGTAGGCATGCATAGAAGTCCATCTCCAAGGTGATTCTGTGTTTTGTCAGGTTGACAGTTGTTTTGTTTTTTTTGAGACAGGATTTCTCTGTGTAGCCCTGGATATCCTGGAACTCATTCTGTAGACTGGGCTGTCCTTGAACTCACAGAGATCTGCCTCTGCCTCCCAATTTCTGAGATTAAAGACGTGTGCCACCCTACCCAGCTAGGCTAATTCTTTGAATTACTACTTCATGTCTTCTTTTTTGCCAAATTCTGTGGAAAGAAAGTTTCCTTGTATGATCCAGACTGACTTTAAGCCCTCAGTCTTCCTGCTTTTGTTTTCCAAGTACTGGAATTACAGATATGCTCTACCATGTCTGATTTTGCTTGTTTATGTTTAATTTGCGAGATTTGGGGACACATGCTTTCATGATCAGTCCATTACATTTTCCCTAATGGTATTTCTTTTGCTTATATTCTATATCTTTATACTAATTTCCCTCCATAATAAAGGACTGAAACCAGAGCCTTGTGCATGCTATGAACATGCTCATCTAATGAGCTATACTTCCAGTGTGAAGAATTTTTAATTTGGACTTTAAATTTTTGTAAGTTTGGGGATCATGAGGCATTAACTTGAATTGTTGCTTGAGTGAAAGAAACCTTACTTTTTTTCTATAAATGACTATGTGTTGGTCTTCCTTTATTACAAGGATGGTCAGAGCTTTCAGATTGTGAATCAAGAAACCTTTTGCAATGAAATACTACCAAAATACTTCAAGCATAACAAAATAGCCAGCTTTATACGACAGCTCAACATGTGTAAGTAGGATTTAATTGTACAATTATTAACATTTGTCACAAAAATATCTGTTTTGTTTTCAATGTATAAATATAAGTACAAGTTGAGTGAAAAGCTTTTACTATACTGTATTTTTAAATTCTGCATAGCTTTTTTGTATTTAATAAAGTTCTTTCTTAGTTACTTTTCTAATGATGTGATAAAACACTATGACCAAGGAAACTTATAAAAGAAAGCATTTGATGTGGACCTTATAATTCCTGGGAGTTATAGTGCATGATGGTCATGGTAAGATCATAACAACAGGTCAGCAAGCATGGCCCTGGAGCAGTAGCTGAAAGCACAGATCTAGAAACACAAACACAAGGCAGAGAGTTAACTGGGGATGGTGTGGGCTTTTGAATGCTCAAAGCCTACCCCAGTGACACATCTCTTCCAAAAAGGCCACATCTCCTAATCCTTCCCAAAATGTTTTGCCAATTAAGGACCAAATATTCAAACATATGTGCCTGTGATAGCCATTATTATTTGAACCATTTCAAACATAAAAATTACCTTTCTGAAAAGATCTCATTTACAATTTTTGAGTTCAGAATCACACAGATGAATGGGACCAAAAATTTATCTAGTTTAATCTTACTGTGCTAGTATTAAAGAATAGGGACTAAAGAGATTAAGTATTCTTGATCCAGATTGTACAGCTAGGCAATTCATTAGCTTGATTAATTATATTTTAGTTCTTCTATTTCTAATCTTTAAAGTTCTGAAAGTCTTACATAACACAAATGTGAATTACGTTGTTCCACACACCTTATTTTTCAACATATTTTTGTGTTACTAGTATGGAAAAATTATAAATACAAACAGTATTGACAAATAATGTATATTTATGAAAATATTGGTGCTTAAAATTTGCATCTGTAATATTTTTATCTACTGTTTTATAAATATTTCCCACATTTAAAATGTGTTATCATTTTATGTAATACAATTATTAAGGTTGTTTTTTATTTTAGACACTTTAAAAAAGTTATTTACATTTTATTTTTCTCAAAATTTTCTTAATGAACATTTATTATTTTCTAGTGTAAATTGTGTACCATTGTTATAAAATATTTTTGTTTGGTTTTTCGAGACAGGTTTTCCTATAAATTATTTTTTAAAAAACAATCAGATTTCTTTTTGGTAGTAGAATTTCTCTGAGGGACTGACTTGTTGTTTACAATTGTTATTCCTAGTATCTCCTCACTTACCACAATTAGGGCAAAAACTTCTATACTGAATCTGCTTTGTAACTAACCAATAAATTCCTCTTTGGTGCATTCATTGACCATAACTGCCTACTTTCAAGGCCTAAATGTGAGAAGTAGTACATACTGTGGAGGGTTTTTTTGTTTGTTTGTTTTTTTAATTTTAGAATTTTGTTTTTTTAATTCTATTTTTCCATTCATTTATTTAGCTCATAAATAAAGTCATGCACAATTATGATACATAATACAGTATGTTCACAATGGCACGGCTAAATTAAACCAATTAACATGTTATATCATGCATATTCATCATTTTTGTTTTGAGAACACTTAAAGTATACAATCTCACAACTTTTAAAGTATAGCATATTGTTATCAACCATATTTGTCATGCTCTCAGTAGACCTCAAGACTTCACAGAGTCATGCCTCTTTCAAACTGCAGTTTTACATCCTTCCCCATTGTTAAAAACCCACATTGAAGCCTAATAGCCACAATTCTGCTATCTGTTCCCATAAGTTCATCATTTCTAGGTTACACATAAAATTGAAATTGTGTGACATTTGTCTTCCAGTGTGTCACTTATTTT